GCTTATTATTTTTCCAATAAGATCTTACCTGTATGCCTCATCAGAGATACAATCCTTTTGATCTCAGTCTCTCACATAGCTAGAATATCATGCACCACCACTGAGTTCAGTTATTGGTTGAGATAAGGTCTTGTGTTTATGGCTAGGCTGACCTCAAAATGCAGTATTTCCTGTCTCTACCTCCAGCATAACTAGAATTACAGGTGTGAGCCATCACATTGCAACCTTCATTCAAAGCATTATTCCCTCTTTGAGGCAGAGTAGGGACCGATGGAGAATATCACTTTCTCAGGTAGTCTTGTCATCTCAGAGCCATGTTGGCTGAGCTAAAACTCAACTCTTTCTTATAACTCTAGTCTCTATCAAACCAAGTCAGCTCACATCTTTATAGTGAAATTAGAAACAAACACTGAATATATATTTTCTCTTTATTTTCAGATAAGAGAATAGAAATATCACCCTCATTTTACAAAAGAGAAGTAAACAAGCAAACAAAACAGAACTTGGAATCAAAGTATAAGTCCATTACACACATCATATATCTAACAACTATAAAATTTGACTCAGATGGAATTTGTTCTAACATTTCTGCTCTGCAGTTTTAGGGTATGTTTTCTCTCATACGATTGAGCAATCTGAAGTATCTATTTTACATGTCACATGGTAGGATTCTAAAACTCAGAACAGAAGGAAAGATGAGACTCTTATTGCAACTTTCCCTGTCTTCCCTTTCTCCTTTCTTCAAACTTTAGGATGGGGTCCTGTGGCAGAAGACTCAAAAGACATAAGATAACTTAGAATTTTTTTTTTCAAATGGCAGGGGAAGACTGATCCCTGTTGGTGATGACATGGGAGTGAAGATTAATGACAGTTTTGACCTCTTATCTGTCTTCCTGACTGGACTCCCAGGACTGGAGGCCCAGCATGGCTGGCTCTCCATCCCCTTCTTCACTATGTCCATAGTGGCCATTGTGGGCAACAGCTTCATCATGGCAGCAGTACACGCAGACTCTGCCCTACATGAGCCCATGTACCTGTTCCTTTCCATGCTGGCTATCACTGAAGTGGGTGTCTCCGTGTCTACATTGCCTACTGTTATGGGTATTCTTTGGTTTGATGCTCTCAGGGTTAACTTTGATGATTGCTTGGCCCAGATGTTCTTTATTCACACATTCGCCTGCATGGAGTCAGGTGTCCTGTTGGCCATGAGTTACCACCGCTTTGTAGCCATCTACAACCCACTGCGCTACACAGCCATCCTGACCCTGCCACGTATCCTCTCCATGGAAGGAGGAATTACACTGAAGAGTGTGGTGCTCACGGCCCCGCTTCCGGTTCTTTTGAGGCAACTGCCCTACTGCCACATTAACATCCTCTCCCACTCCTACTGTCTCCATTCGGACCTGATCCAGCTGCCTGTGCTGATACTAAGCTCAACAGCATTCTGGGCTTGTCCATTGTTCTGGCCACTTTTGGACTGGACTCCCTGCTTATTGTGGTTTCTTATGCACCAATTCTTTGCACAGTACTGGGCTTTGCTTCTGGGGAAGGACGGAAGAAGGCACTCAACACATGTGTGTCACACATCTGTGCAGTCCTCGTGTACTATGTGCCTATGATTGGCGTGTCCATAATGCATCGCGTTGCTGAGCATGTTTCACCCATGGTCCAGCATTTACCACTTTGTGCCACCAGTGCTCAACCCTATTATCTACAGCGTTAAGACTCGCCTCATCCGACAGGGAATTGTCAGCTTATTCTGCAAGAAGGAATCAATCTGAATTACTATGGACAAGGACCATCCTTCAATCTGCAAACTGTTATCAAGCTTCTCATATGGGCAAAATTCTATACCAGACATTTTGAGAAGGAAGCGGAAGAAAGTGGTCTAAGCACTGTCATAATCATCTATCCAAATTTCAAATTATTTCTAAATCCTTTACATTTACAGTTTGTTTGTGTGTGTGTGTGTGTGTGTGTGTGTGTGTGTGTGTGTGTGTGTGTGTGCGCCTCTCTGTGTACATATGTACATTCCTTTCTTCTCTGGCCAGATATGAAAACTTGAAGGCACAAAGAATGAATTCAGGGTGCTGAGAAAGTGGCTCAGTGGTAGAGTGCTTGCCTTGTATGCCTGAGGCCCTGGGTTCAATTCCTCAGCACCACATAAGCAGAAAAAGCCAGAAGTGGCGCTGTGGCTCAAGTGGTAGAGCGCTAGCCTTGAGCTGAAGAGCTGAGGGACAGCGCCCAGGCCCACAGTTCAGGCCCCCCAACCAACAACAGCAACAACAAAAAAAACAAAAAACAAACAAAAAACCCCCACAAAGAATGAATTCACTGCTTCTATATTCTCTCAACATTCCTAGCAAGTACAATTTTAAAGAATTTAGACTTTACTATATCTGTATTGAAACAGAACAAAATTTTACTTTTATGAGATAGCTAGGGATTAAGAGTATCCCCTTTCCAATACAGACACATAATTTGGGAATATTCCTTTGAGCAGAGTGAGTCTGCTTTCTGGTTTGTACCAGATATTCATGGTGTACATGTATTTTCTTCATTTTATAATAGAACCTACTTTTACTTTCAAAATTGTCCTTATTTAATGAGTTCTGGGGCTTGAACTCAGAGCCTGGAACCGACTTTGAGCTTTTATGATCAAGAATAACACTCTAAGCTTGAGTCATAGACCCATTTTTCGCTTATTTTTGTGTGTTTAATTGGAGGTAAAATTCTTTTAGACTTTCTTTCCCCGGTCTGTCTAAGAACCATGATTCTCAGAGCTCAGCCTCTTGAGTAACTAGGATTACAGGCATGAACCACCATTACCCTGAGCTTTTTATTTAATTTAAAAATAATAATATTTACTAGTGGATTGAGACTTAGCTCAGCATGAATCTTATTCCATTTTACTTTCTCCTTACTGTGAAGGTTAATGAAATATTTGATAACATAAATAAGATAATACCAACATTATTTTACCACTTAGAGCCATTGTTTATTAAATACATTTGGAATAAAATTATAGAACACATATGACTTATCCAAAATATGTTAGCAACTTAACAAGAAATGAATCTGTTGGATTCCTCTGCACTTTTGATGAAAGCGAAAAAATTGATCTCATTTGTCTTACATTGATTATTACTCAGTCATTGATGCCAATATTTCTGGTAGTTCCTTTGAGTTCCTTTGTTTGAGGTCTCAAAAATATACAGAAGAGTTAAGTTACATAAGTCAAGTAATGAGAACATTTCTTTTTGAACAGTGTCACCCCCTCCCTCAATTTCTCCCAGTTTTTTCCCCTCCTGACCCCCTCCTCATGAAGTTGTATAGTTCATTTCCAACATAGTGTCTAGTGAGTATCATTGCTGCATTTGTTCAACATTTTTTCAAAAATATTCATATGTTGGTGTAATGTAATGTGGAATGACTTAGGATGATTTTATGGGCTTTGCTTTTTCTCTTCTCCTAGCAAGAGATTATTTCTTGTGTCACATCTTTCCTTTAAAAATACTGTCATTATCTCAAGATTCATTGGCTTCAGATGATATGTTGTGATTCATACAGGTTTGTGATTCATGGTGATGTGTTTTGAACATACAGATTTGTCATCCACACACTTGTACTATTAGTTAAATGGGAAATAACAGCTGACCATGTTTTTACTCATTTTCTTAACATTTCCCCCCCCCCCCCCAACTTGGATTTCCTGATCCTAAACATCCTAAGATTACATGTATCTTTCATTGTGAAATATACTTCTTTTTTAAAAATACATTTTTATTATAAAAATAGTGTACAGAGGGGTTACAGTTACATGAGTAAGGTAATGAGTACATTTCCTATCAAGCATTGTTGCCTCCTTTGTTTTTCCCTTACTATCCTTCCTTTCCCACCTCTCCAACTCCTCCCTCCCTCCCCCCCACAAGTTGTAAAGTTCGTTGAAATATACTTCTTTATGCCAACTGATTCATGGCACTCTGGGGGAAAGTAAGTCATGCTAACATCTAGGCTCTGGTTAAAAATATAAGAAAGATAAAAATAAAGGAGAAGAACATGGGAGGGGAACTTGCTCTCTAGCATTCAATGCCCACTCCCTCTCCAACTGTGCTTCTACTGATTTCCCTTTGGAGATCTATTCTCATTAATTCAAATCTAAGTGGGTCCTAATATTATCCACCTACACAGTGTAGTCCTATAAGGAGAAAACGTGACCAAATGAAGGCTGATATTTCTGAAAGAGGCCCAGGGCAATCTGACTCTTAAGAAGCAGAGACATAGGAATGACATTAGGATTGTTTTGTCTTTGTCTTTTTTAAGCTCTAGTCAGAAAAAAATGAGCTCTTATTTCCTACAAACATTATCATACTTGAAGTTTAAATTGTAAGTTCTGAAGACTTTGGTCTAGCAAGGCAAGAGTCCTACTCTAGTTACAGGATATTTTACCACCCTGCCCTAATTTTAAACACATTGCATATGATCCCTTGTTCTGCTGGAGTCAGGGTGGGTGTTGATTAGATAAACCTGAATGTTTGAGAAACTTGATCTGCAATAATCCTGCTCCCAAATTCTTCACAAATATTTACTGTTATTCTGAAAGAGTAAGTCAGAGAGTACTTGACAGAGGAGCTGGAGTTCACCTGTACATCTGAGCCGAGGTACCCAACAGTATAGATTGTGACTTAAGAGCTAAGGATTTCCTTCTAGTATTTAATCAACCATGGGACAGAAGAACCGCCACAAGACTCAGTAATGCTTGTCTCATTGGCATAGCTGCTGAGGATCTCGAAGCTATCAACTCAGAACAATATCTCTTCTGTATAGAAGCATTGTTCCCAGCTTTCCTCAGCCAACTATCTGCTAAGAGTTACAAAAAGTCCTATTGCCTTCATAATATCCTGTAGTCTTATTTTATAATGCCCATGATCAAATTTGACCTATAATCTCCCATTAACCTTATGCCTTCTATTCATGTTGAATATAAGAAATTTATCCCATCATTTCAACTGCATAGATTTTGGGGAAAAGAGGTGAAAGATTGCCCGGCGAATCTGCTTGGTCTTTGCACTATAAATGATGGGGTTCATCACTGGTGGAGCCAGAAGGTAGACATTGGCCATGATAACATGGACCAATGGAGAGGCATGTGTGGCAAAGCGGTGAGTCATGGATACACCAACCATGGGAACATAGAGGAGAAGAACAGCTAGAACATGAGACAGACAGTTATTGAGGGCACGGAGTCTCTCAGTCCAGGTGGCTGTGCTCAAGATATTTTTCAGGATGAGTGTATAGGAGAATACAATGAGCAGAGGATCCATTACAATGATGAGCAAAGCCAAAGCAAACCCATACCAGCTGTTAAGGCGAATGTCAGCACAGACCAGGCGAATCATATCCTGGTGGAGACAGTAGGAGTGGGAGAGGTGAGAGCGGCAGAAGGGCAGGCGCTTGAGCAGGAAAAGCGAAGGAAGGACAGCCAGGACACAGCGGCAAATGATGGCGAGTCCAATCCGACCAATGACTTCATTGGTGAGAACAGAGGCATAATGGAGAGGTCGGCAAATCGCCACGTAGCGGTCAAAGGACATGGCCAGCAGGACAGAGGATTCCATGAAGGAGAACCCATGGAGGAAGAAGAACTGGGCAAAGCAGGCATCAAAACTGATTTTATGGATGTTGAACCAGAGGAGCTGCATGACCGTGGGTAAGGTAGTGAGCGTGAGGCCCAGGTCAGTCAGGGCCAGCATGGAAAGGAAAAGGTACATGGGCTGGTGGAGTGATGGATCTGTGCGGATGGCAGCGAGGATGCTGGTGTTACCTGTGATGGAGATGGTGTAGAGACAGAAGAAGGGGATGGAGATCCAGATGTGGGAGGCCTCAAAACCAGGGATGCCCAGGAGGAGGAAGTAGAAAGCCCCTTGTGTGCTGTTAGTCACCTCAGACATGACTGATGAAAATGACTTCAGAGGCAGTATCTTCGCTCATGGAGAACCAGCACCATGTGACATCATCTGCTCTTCCTCACCCAACCCTGACACACATCTGGTCTAAACTGTATACAAAGGTTCAGAGTCAGTGAGGGTAGCTACGAAGACCTTGATTGTCTCTACCTAGCCGAGCCTGCAGACTCTCCTCAAAGTCACACCCCTAACCCCATCACTCAGTACAGATTAATTCACCAGTAGCTCCTTTTCATTGTTTGCTGTTTTTATTTTCTCACTGCTTTTCAGTTCTCACCCTCAACAGTTGCTTTTTTTCACACAAATCCCAATGTCAATATTATTCCCAGAAAGGATTAAAAACGGCTGCAGTGCAAAGACAGTGGCTAATATTCATCCCTGATTGCTTTTTAGTACTTTATGTCTACCATGGATTCGGTTTCTATGATATCAAAACACAGTTGGAGTAGGTACAGTGACTCACACCTGTCATCACAGAAGCATAGGACTCTGAGAATAGAAAGAGAGTCATTCTAGGCCCATCTGAGCAAAAACTTTTTTTTTTTTTTTTTTTTTTTTTTTACCACATCTCCTTTCATTGGAAGAAGCTGGGTATGCTGGTACTACAGAAAGCACAAAATAGGAGGCTTTCTGTAGGCCAGTCTCACTTTCTCTTAAAGTGAAACTCCATCTCAAAATAACGAGTGCAAAAAAAAAAAGGCTGGAGATGTGGCTTAGCAACTAAGACCAACTGCCTAGAAAGCATGAAGCTCTGAGTTTGAATCCCAGTACCACCCATAACAAACAAAAAACCACCTAACTTGAAGCAAAGGGAAGGGATCATGGAAAGGAAGAAGAGTAGAAAAGCACTGGTTGGTGAATGTTTATGTACTATTTTAAGTGCACAGCCTGTGATCATTCTCATTCTCTGACAACCATCACCCTCCCTCCTTTTCTCTGTTGATTGATTCATGGAGGAGTCCTACCTGGGGTTTGTCCTCTTCACTGTTTGTGGACTTGATGGTCTCTGATCAGCTTAGAGGTCAGCTGTGTTATAAACCCTTGCAAATCTTTGGCCTGGAAAGTGGGGAGATTTGGCCCTGCCCGTAAGGGATTATGTGCAGAAACTCCTGGAGAAGCCGATCCTTTGGGAAGTCAGCCCGAGCTGTGGCTCTTCCTTTTGTCTCCACAGAACAAGGAAATACAAAACCACCTTGAGTCCCTGTCTTTCTCGCTTGTTAAAGTTGACTTGGAACTGCATACTTATTTGTGGAATACTTATATGTAGCCATCTGATTATTACTGGCAATTGGAGGGTGGAGTTAAAAAATCAAGAGAGCTGCAGATGAAAGGAATGTTAGTATACATTCATTCTAAGAGGCATTCCTTTTGCAGTGAAACCTCTGGGAATAATGAGAAAAGAGAGTTTTCTCTCACACACATGTATATTGAGTAAATGAAAAGAGATGTCAAAATCAAATTAGAAAGAAAAAAATATCAGCACTTATTTATTGACTCATATCTTATTACACACAAAATGAATTACAAATTTATGAAATGTAAATGATATAAAAATAAAATAGAGGAAATTAAATATATTTATTTAAAACTACCTTTGACTTGCATTTTTCAAAACTTATCTGCCATAGACAAGAATCACAAATTAAAAGAGAAGTTCATCTCTGAAGAGGAAAGAAGGATGGCCAATAGACACATGAAGAAATGCTCAACCTCCCTATCCATAAAAGAAATGCAAATCACAACAACACTGAGATTCCACCTCACCCCAGTTAGAATGGCTATAATCAAGAACTCTAATAACAACAGATGCTGGAGGGGATGTGGACAGAAGGGAACCCTACTGCATTGTTGGTGGGAGTGTAAACTTGTTCAACCACTTTGGAAAGCAGTGTGGAGGTTCCTCAAAAGACTCCACATAGAGCTCCCCTATGGCCCAGGAATCTCACTTTTGGGCATTTACCCAAATGTTCACAAACAAGACCACACTAAAGCTACCAGCACGACTATGTTTATTGCAGCATTATTTACTATAGCTAAGATATGGAACCAACCCAGATGCCCCTCAGTAGATGAATGGATCAAGAAAATGTGGTATATATACACAATGGAATTCTATGCCTCCATCAGGAAGAATGACATTGCCCCATTTGTTAGGAAATGGAAAGACTTGGAAAAACTTATATTAGGTGAAGTAAGCCAGGCCCAAAGAAACATAGGTCCCATGGTTTCCCTTATTTGCAATAACTAGTATATGTCTGGAACAAGCAGAAAAGGTCAGATAAGATGATGTTAAGCAAAATGAACCCAAGATACGTACCAAGTGTTTTTTTCTTCCTTGCTATTGTTTCTAACATATTTATAAGGTACCATATGATTTTTTTTGTTGCTTTGTATGTCCTCCCCCATGGTATAACCCCAGTTTTCACTGTATTTGATGTTGATATAATTTGTGGAGGGGAAGGGAAAAAACAAATTGTTTAAATAGGGATACAGGTAGACCCATTGCAACAATGAGATGTACAAGACACTATGTTGAAAAACGAACTTTAAAATTTAGGCGGGGGTGGGGGATGGAGAGGTGGAGAGTGGGGGGTGTAGTTGAGGAGGTGGGAGGGACGGGATGGTAGGGGAAAAACAAAGGAGGAAGCAACAATGCTGGATAAGAAATGTACTCATTACCTTGCTCATGTAACTGTAACCCCTCTGTACAGTATTTTCACAATAATAAACTTTTTTAAGAAAAAAATAAAAAGGGCTGGGAGGTGGCTCAGTGGTAGAGCACTTGCCTTGCATCCCTGAGGCCCTGGGTTCGTTTCCTCAGCACCACATAAGCAAAAAGAAAAAAGCTGGAGGTGGTGCTGTGGCTCAAGTGGTAGAGTGCTAGCCTTGAGCTGAAGATCTGAGGGACAGCGCCCAGGCCCAGAGTTCAGGCCCCACGACTAGACCCTCCCCCCAAAAAAAAGAAAAAAAGAAAAGAGAAGTTCATGTAAGCAAAAATGTTATATGCATGATATGAATGTATAAACATACCATAATGAAAAATAGGAGTAAGGAGTAAGTACATAGAAGGGGAATAAGATAATAATAGAGAGGGTAAAATGATCCAAGTAACAAATACATTTGTATGGATATAACATCATGAAACCTCTTTGTACAATTAGTATATGCAATTAAAATTTAAAATAAAGCTACTCAAAGCTTAACAAATATAATAAAGGAACAGTTAAAATCTTGTAAAATACACACTAGAATTGTTTCATATTTGAAAAGTGAACATCTCAATGTTGGTCAATGAAGTATCACATGACATAGACAGGAAAGACTTGGAAATTAAACACAAAAGGAGAACTACAACTTCAAGCATAAAATTGCAATTCTTTTTTTTTTATTTGGTTATACAGAGGGAATCTCTCATTGTTACATCTCCACCTATATATACACTGTATTCCAATCAATTTTGCCCTCTCTATTACATTCCCTGCCTCCTCTCACCTCAAAATAGCATCACCAAGAGATTTCCTTTCATTTTTACAGTTGCAAAAACCCTATTTTGACAGTACTGAACCACATTTATCCTCCCTGCCAGCACGACCCCCACCTCATAGTCCACACCTACCTAAGAACCTATTTCTCTCCCTATCCAATAATTGAAATTCTTGAACTTAATGCACAAGGAACATACAAATGAATTTATTCTAATAGTCTGTCTTTTATTTTTCCAGTCCTGGAGCTTGGATTCATGGCCTGGGCACTGTCCCTGAGCCAATCTGTGCTCAAGGCTAGTACTCTATCACTTGAGCCACAGCACCACTTTCGGCTTTTTCTGTGTATATGGTACTGAGGAATCAAACCCAGGGCTTCATACATGCTAGGCAGGCACTTTACCATTAAGCCACATTCCCAGCCACCCTATTCTGTCTTTTGATGTACAAAAACATAATCATTTTTAAAATAAGGTAGTACAGCTCACAGGCTTACGCTTATAAGCAAATTAAAGCAAATTAAAATAATAGAGATGCAAATACCCTCTGATCATATCAAAAGCTTACAACCATTGATAATATAAACTCCATGTTGTACCTTATAAATAAACTATAATTACAAATAGAAAGAAGTGAGAAAGGAGAGAAAGAAGGACAGAACGTAAGAAGAAAGAAACAAACATAGAAGATAGAAAAGGGAGGGAAGGAAGGAGAGAAGGAAGGAAAGATGGAAAGAAGGAAGAAAAGAATGGAGGGAAGGCAATTGTTTCTCAGGATTACACAGGTGCCAAGAAATATATTCAGCATCTGAAGTTTGAGCTCTGGAAAAAAAAAATCTGTGAGTTCTGTCTCCTAAGTAAGACTTGACTCAAGTTATTCAAGCTGAGTCTTCAAAGATCTTTCTGATGGCCACTGATTTTTATTCAAGATCACATTATATTTTTTCAAAATATGACAAACTGATCTATATATACATTAAAAAGAATGTTTAGTTAGCTTATGAGAAGACAAAAACCCAGTAAGGGTTGTAATCAAATTGAGATATGGCTTTTTATTCATCATCTGAACAAGATTTAAAAATACTGAAAAAATATTCGTTGGTAAATAAAAGAATGTAATGTTTATGAGAGAAAATAAAAATATTGTAAGTACCAAAATTGTAACTGCTCACAAACATGTTTTTTGGTGCAATTAGGGTTTGTACTCCAGGGGACTGCACTTGCCAGGCAGGTCTTCCTCCATTTGAGCCATACCTCCAGGCCTTTTTGTGTGGATCATTTTATATATATTTTTTTTGGTACCAGTACTGGGGCTTGAACTCAGAGCCTTGTGCTCCTACTTGGCTTATATCTCCCAATTCCAATTCTGTTTTTTTTTTTCTGTTTAATTGGAGGAACTCTTCTCTGAGATTTTGTTTTCCTTGGGCTGGCTTGGAACTACAATTCTCAGCTCTTAGCTTCCTGAATAGCCAGAATTATAGACATGAGCCACTAGCAGTTGGCTAGGTTGCTCATTTTTTTTTCAGGTGCAATTTCACTTTTAGGCCCAGACAGACCTAGACTATGATTTGCTGGGAAATCATGTACCACCATACCTAGACATTGATCAAGATGGAGTCTGACAGCCTTCATTTACCCAAACTGACCTCAAATCAAGATTTGTCAATACATACCTCCAGATAATTAGAGTTATGTTTCCGCCAGAATGTACAAAATTTTAGCTTAGTAATCCTATCTATAAATTTACTTCATGAGGGCACTAATACATTTGAAACATATTTATAAGACTTTATTCCCACAAATTATTTGTAAGATTATAAAAATGGAAACAAATTAGATAGCCATTAATTGGACACTGATAAATGAATGTTGATAATGTACAATGTTCACAGAATGAAATAAGTAGATGTAAGGTAATGCTCCTTGCAAAGTGATTATGAGTAATCTAAAAGATGTCCATCTGTACGGTCAGATAAGTTGATGTTAGGTGAAATGAACCCCAAGATAAGGATTCAAATGTTTTTTTCTTTCTTGCAATTGTTTCTAACATATTTATAAGATGATTTCTTTGTTGCTTTGTATGTCCCTCCCCCATGGTATAACCCTGGTTTTCACTGTAGTTGATGTTGGTATAATTTGTGGAGGGGAAGGTAAAAAACAAATTGTTTAAATAGGGATACAGGTGGATCCATTGCATCATGAGATGTTCAGACGTTATGTCGAAACATGAACTTTACAACTTTGGCGGGGGGGGGGGGGGAGGAGGAGTAGGGGGAAGTGGAGGTGGGGAGATGGGAAGGGATGGGAAGGGGAAACAAATGGGGAAGCAACAATGCTTGATAAGAAATGTACTCATTACCTTGTCCATGTATTTGTAACCCCTCTGTACGGTATTTTCACAATAAAAAATTGAATTATATGAATGTATAATCTTATCAACATTTTATTAAAACTCTGTATGCAAGCACCTGTGCTCATACCTATAATCCTAGCTACTCAGGAAGCTGAGATCTGAGGATCACAGTTCAAAGATTGCCCTGGCAAAGAAGTCCATGGAATTCTTATCTCTAATTAACCACCAAAGAGCTGGAAATAGAGCTGTGGCTCAATGGTAGAGCTCTTAGCCTTGAGCAAAAAAATCTCATGGACATTGAGTTCAAGCCCTAGGACTGGCATACAAAATAAATCTGGATAACAAAGTTAATCAAACTATATTTTCATTAGAGTCAGTGCTTTTGCCAGATTTAAATATAGGCGCGATCATTTGTAAGAAGTCTGAAGACCCACCATGCAATCTTGGAGAAGAAATAGAAGTGAAGTGCTAGTTTCTCATTTTATCCTAAGCTGTTTGCTGGTTCCCAACATTTTTCTAGCTGCCAAATGCCTCCCAAGGAATAACCACTCTCTAGTTTCTCTGGATATCTATGGGATGTCCTTCCTTGGGTTTACCTGCTTGGTAATTTTAAGTCAATGCTCCTTGTGGGGTTCTGCTGACTATGAGTTGGCTATGATCTGGGTAGCATTTACAGGCAACTGTAGAGTCCCAAGTCAGGATCTATAGAAACATTATCCATGGAAACTTGGAGGGGTCATAGAAGTGACCTAGCATACATTCATCTCTTTAAGATCTCAATTTCCTTCCCTGAAAATTCAATTGCAAACTGTTTATAATACTTTAAATGTCTTAAAAGGAATGTGACTTCAAAATAAGATGCTTGTTTCTTTGACAGTTTCTGCATAATGAGTGGGAAAACTTTAGAATTCTGCACAATTAGCATGATTTCTCACTTTAAGGACTTCTAGTTTGGGCCTTAGGGAAGTTGGGTGGATGCCTCATCAAATTCTACATGGGAAAATTCCTTTGAGAGAGCTGGAGTTCAGGGATCAGTTCACCTGCTACAGAATTCAGAGACCAATAACTCTTTATTTATTACAAAGATCTCGGTAGATTTCTATCAATAAATTTCTTTGGATACCTTCTAACTCAGCTTGCATTTTCCTTATGAGAAATGCTGTGCTTTCAAAGGCAATATATTTTTTTTTTGCCTTCTTGTTCTAGGTCTGCAAGTTAATACATTTAGGTATGTATGTCACACAACATGCTTCAAAAAAAAAAACCCATTCGTTCTATGTAGTTTTTGATCATGCATAATCCATGCTTCCTTATATTTTCACTGTAGTTAATTACTAGATGATCAGAAAACCTATTAGATGCCATATTTTACGCCAGCACCACTTACGTAACCTGTAAGTTAAGACCACTTGTAGTTAGAGAAAACAAAGGAACAAACAAAATCTTTTTTTTTTTTTTTGTTTACTCTGACCATTAACTAAACTCTGGATCTCTTCTCTGATAGCATTCGGGCAATGCCACGACGAATCTCCTTAGTTTTAATGCTATAGACAATGGGGTTAATGACAGGTGGAAAGAAGAGATAAGCATTGGCCATCATAATTTGTAGCAGGGGAGACACATGACGTCCAAAACGATGCACCATAGACAAACCAATCATAGGCACGTAATAAGCAAGCACAGCACAGACATGTGACCCGCATGTGTTGAGTGCCTTCTTCCGCCCTTCTCCGGTGGCAATTCCCAGTACAGTGTGGAGTATGAGCCCATAGGAGACCACGATGAGCAATGAATCCAATCCAAAAGTGGATATCACAATGAAAAGCCCATAGATGTTGTTGATAGAAATATCCCCACAAGGTAGATGAATAAGATTAGGGTGGAGACAATAGGAGTGAGAGAGGGCATTATGGCCACAGAAGGGAAGTCTCCTTAAGAGCAGGGGCAAAGGGGTCATGAGCAGGATGCTTTTCAGCCCGATGATAACTCCTGTACAAAAGATGCGAGGCAGTGTCAGGATAGTTGTGTAGCGCAGAGGGCTGTGGATGGCCACAAAGCGGTCCACAGACATGGCCAGCAACACAGCTGATTCCATGATGGAGAAAGAGTGGATGGAGAACATCTGGAGAAGGCATGCCTCAAAATGAATCTCAGAATTCCCAAAAAGGAACATGCCTAGCACAGTGGGGAGGGTAGATACTGAGACACCGACCTCAGCCACTGCCAGCATGGCAAGAAAGAGATACATGGGCTGATGCAGAGCTGCGTCTTTCCTGATGACGTGGAGAATGCTGCCATTGCCAAGGAAGATGATCAGGTACATCAGGCAGAAGGGGATGGATATCCAAATGTGCTCTGTCTCCAGCCCTGGGATGCCAACCAAAATGAATGATGCAGGTAAGAAGCTTAACGAGCTATTGGAGTTCTTCATGTTGAAACCTCATGCCAGGGGATCAGTGTCCACCTTAAAAATTAGAAACAAACCAGTTTGATGACACTATCATGGAGAAAGACCACAGGGCATGGAGGAAAGGGGAGAAGAAAGCAAACTCAGATTTGTGGGACCAACAACCTCATTTCTGGAAGCTGATAGATAACTTCCCATTGTAAAGTGGTTATGATCTCCATCATAAGGAAGTTCTAGGCTGATTGATCAGTATGCATCATAGTGCACCTTGGGTCAGGTAAAGGAGACACGGGTTCCTGGTATGGGCGTTGAGATTCCTGTCCTAGAAAGTCACTGGGAAGATCAAACATATATAGCATAAGACATGGACTAATGTTGGGGGCAGGTGAACATAAATTACTGATAAATGTTTAGCATGGTACATAAAAATAGCTTAAAAGAACTTCCTTATGATGGAGATCATAACCACTTTACAAGTGATGAACAGGTTTGTGAATAATTGAGGACCAAGACAAAGCCAGAAATAGCTGCAATGATGAGCCTGAGACCAGCAGAAGAAGAATTAAATAAAAATACTTGGAGCAGGGAACCACGCTGATCTTAGCTGTTCTGAACTTTTAAAAGTCTAGAAAGCAACTAGAAAGAATGTATATGACTGGGTGATTTAGGAAGAAGTAGAAACCTAGCTTAGTGGATTTACACGCAGAACTTTAAAGGTGCACGGACATATTGCCACAATGACCCATAATCTCTTGACTCAAGTGTGCTCATAAACTGCTTACCTTAATCATTGGGACATATTTTTGACTCAGCTACCAAATGGAGTGCACTACAGCAACAAAGCTGAGAACAGTGCTGGAACATTTTCCTGGTGAGGAAAGGAAAAAGCAGAGAAGAAGATAATCTGCTTCAGTTGAGCTATTATCTGGCCAAGCACAGTAATAATAGCAAATTCCTAGACTGGGAGGATTGAAAAGACTTCTGAGTACTAACTATCCCAAATACACATGCACGTGCATGTGCGTGCGCATACACACACGTGCACACCGCTACTGCTTACTTATTCATTCATGTACACAGTTCTCACATGTTTGTTATAATTCTCCCAACTGAAATGAGCTTTCTTTCAGCCACTTCTGAAAGTCAATCCCCTAGAAGCACCAATCTCATTGTTCCATGATGGCTATTATTAATTTTTAATCTACCAGGAACATTGATCTTCTTGGCCACGCTCCCTGTAGAACTCAGGCAACATGGAGTCTGGGCTCTGCTCGGGAAATCTCTTCACCTTCTAATCACAGACCTCAGAGAATACATTTTCTCTCACTAATGTTCAAGTACAATTATTGCATTGTTAAATTGCAAAAATGTTCAATATATAACCTAAAATTAAGATAAGTAAGGGAAGGAGTGGGTTAAGAAGGGTGGGTGAGAATGTTGAAAGGGGTGACATTGATCAGGATGCACTATGTTCATAAGCTGCTTTCGTGAATGGCAACTTCTTTGAACAACTATTTAAAGATAATAAAAATCAAAAAAAGAGAAGTTCAGGATACTATGAAAGGGACTTAGAGGTTAAAAAAATCCTGATTTATTTTATTCCTTTCTTTTTGATCTAATACGCATTTATAATATGGGGGGTTTTCATTATGCTGTTTGCACTCAGTGCACTTTGAACAAATTCATCTTCTCCCTCTTTCCTTTCCCATCCTCCCTCCTCCTTTTTAAACAACATTTGGTGGGTTCCATTATTCTGATTCACACACACACACACACACACACACACACAAAGATGTGTGTCTTTTGATCCTCTTTGTCATTTTTAAAAGTAAAACTTTAGCTGGCACCTGAGGACTGGAATTGTCCCAGGTTTAATGCATAACTTGGGTGCAGTAAAGAAATGGACACCAGGGCCACAGCAATTTTGTCAGACTAGAATAAGACATGGGGAAAATGAACACTGTTGATCTACTAGGGTATTAAAATCATTGCTTGTTTTGTTTTCTCACAATTTCTCCTTTTGTAGACATATTGGGCAACAATGAAAAAATACATTGCTCACCTACATGTGTGATTCCTGGGCACTTATGCTGTGTTGAAGTGCATCTCAGTAGACACACCAAGGAAGGAAAAGTTCTCTGTGTTAGGATGTGTTAAAACACAGATTAAAAAATTCTGTTCCTAGCTACTCAGGAAGCTGAGATCTGAGGATCGGGGTTCAAAGCCAGCCTAGGCAGGAAAGTCCATGAGACTCTTATCTCTAATAAACCACTAGAAAACTGGCTTAAGCGGTAGAGCACTCGCCTTGAGCTGATGGTTTGTTTTTTGGATTTTTTTGTTGTTGTTGTTGATCATGGGGCTTGAACTCGGCTTGGGTGCTGTCCCTGCACACTTCTGCTCAAGGTGAGCGCTCTACCGCTTGAGCCGGTTTTCTAGTGGTTTATTGGGGATAAGAGTCTCATGGACTTTTCTTCCCCGGGCTGGCTTTGAACCATGATCCTCAGATCTCAGCTTCCTGAGTAGCTAGGAACAGCTCCCAAGCCAGAGTTCAAGCCCCATGACCGACCAAAAAAAAAAAAAAATTCTGGAAGAAATCACTGACCTTGAGAAATGACGATACATTGTCAGAGCATCCCATGACTAAGGGAGTTCAGACATTTCTCTTCTTCACTTGTTATGCCTCTTCCATTGTCTTTTCTTTCCTCCAAAATGCTCAGTATATCTTTTGAGTTCCTTGAATAGACCTAATACTAGTCTCCCTATAGGCTGAGCAGCTCTTTCTCATATACTGTCTTACATAGTCCTTGGTCCCATTGCATCTGAATCTTGCATGTCACCCCTCAAACAACTTATCAGTGGAACTTTACCTGTCAAGAGAGATAACATTTTCACAGCTTGACAATGGCAGGGAAAAAAATGACAGATTCTTCAAACAATGCTATGCTTTTCTATACCTTATCTATTTGTCCATGTTTTCTTTGAGTTTTGCTTTCTATTCATTCTTATAGTTTTGCACCTGCCATATCCTTCCTTTATCTCAGGCCACACAGGGCAGGTCTTGAGTTAGACCCTAAATGGCTGTTTTCTCCAACAAATCCGGGATCAGGACATCAGTGTCAGAAAGAATAATCTCTTCCCTTGACTCTCTACAAAAAGAAAATTTCAGTCAGTGCCTTGAACAGTATATAAATTCACATTTTCCTAAATGAGGCTTAAAAACTGCTGCTATATATTATGTACAGAAGAGAGAATCACACACATGGCTTTGGTATTTTGAATTCAGAATGGAAATAAAGCTGCTCTGTATTAAAGCATGTAAGCAATAAATGCTATATATATGATATATATATATATATATATATATATATAGAGAGAGAGAGAGAGAGAGAGAGAGAGAGAAGAGAAGAGAAGAGAGCACACCAGAAGCTAGTGGCTCACTGGTAGCGTACTAGCCTTAGTGGAGGGGGGCAGGGGGAGGATGGGAAGGGATGGGAAGGGGAAACAAAGGAGGAGGCTACAATGCTTGATAAGAAATGTACTCATTATCTTGCCCATGTAATTGTAACCCCTCTGTATAGTATTTTCACAATAAAAAATGAATAAAAACTTAAAAAAAAAAAGAAAAGAAAAAGAAGCTAAGGTTACTGCCCAGGCCCTGAGTTCAAACTCAAGGAATGGGAAAAGAGAGAAAGAAAGAGAGACAGACAGACAGAGAGAAAGAGAGATACAGAGAGACAGACACAGACACAGACACCGAGAGTCAGAGAGAGAAGGAGGAAGGAAGAGAGGGAGGGAAAGAGGGAGAAAGAAAGAGATAACTGAAATATAATCATTTTCCTTGTTCTAAAAGCACATCTGAATGGGGAGGTGATTAAAGAGATTATTTAGTTTTTGTCCTAGAATAACAGGACAGAATAATGTAAATCCGCAGAAACTCCTACATCCCTGGAACTGGACAGAATTGGAGGTGAATCCTATGTGCAGCTTGACTTTATCTACCTTGTTTTTATGAACATGTGTTTCTTTATTGTTAAATGTAAGATGCTAATATGTAGCTCAAACATTGACTCTCAGTATTTAATGTGACATTTTAACAACCACTAAATGATAGTATTCCTTGCCCCACCATCTCTTCTTCCAGGATTTTTCTGAGATATCATCACAGCTTATCCACAACTCTCTACTCATACTATTCTGTCACCAAGGACACTCAGGCCATAATAGTGAGGGAGGTAAAAAGACAAGAATTTCCCCCTCCATAAAGGAGCATCGAATATATATATATGTATATCTATATATATATATATACACATACATATATATATACATATACACACACACACACACACACACACATATACTTTGCAAGAGGACTAAAAAAATAACACAATGGCAAAACTGCTTCTAAATGCTATAATACTTTCTGATTTTGTTTTGTTTAACTCTTACTATCTATCATCTAGCTTAGGAGATGTGCCTCTCTTTCTACCACCTTGATTCGTTCAGGAATCAAGGTAAGCTAAGTACTGACTAGAGGAAAATCTGATTGGTTTCAAGCTCAGGGGTAAAGGGGGGTTCCGTTTGGAAGCTGTTTGAGGAGTCAGTCATGGGCTTGAACACTCACCACAACAGCAAGTGGGAAGCTCACTTCAGCAAGGCCTGCCACCCTGGCATTTTTGCTTTCTTCTTCTTCCCGTTGGAAGCTGAACGCTCTTTTTAAGATGACCAGAAGCTCTGGGAATGGAATGAGTTTCCCAGAGGAGTAATTACCCCAGTAACTGTATCATCCTTTCTTAATATCTAGAGACCTATAAGGGAAATAAACAAGGATATAAAAATGAGTCCAATAGTATTTACTTAGCATGGTGACTGGATAACTAATATACTTAAATGACTTTGAAAGCATGTTGTTTATTAAAACTACAGTAGAGAAGCCAGGTAGTGGTGACATTCCTGTACACAGTTTTGCTTTGAACAAGTTAACCCACTTCCCCATTCTTCCCCTCTGCCTCCCCCTCCTTTTT